GACAACATGTCAGCATGGCAACAGCGAGCGTGTCAAGATGCTGATTTACCATCAAGTACTGCCTTCCAGTGCTTCTCAGCGGCTTCCATGTCAGCGCTGAGCGCGTCGCGTACGGAGTATTCGAAGCTCGAGCGTGTTGGTGCCGTAAGACCAGCGTAGTTGGCGTGCAGCTCCTCAAGCATAAGCGCAAGCGAAGCTCCATCTATCATATTGAGAGTAAGCGCGCATGTAGTCAGCAACGCGAAGGAACGACGCACCGAAGACGGCATGATGCAAGGACAGCACGAAGGTCGATCCTGCTCCCTCCGCGCCACGCAACACAACCGCGCACCACGGTCTCTCCAGCCCTATCCTTCCTGCCGCCTCGCCGAGATATCCTTCCAAGATATCCTCGCCACCTTCCCTCTCCTCCCAAGCGCCCATCCTTTCCTCCCAGTCCTTCTCGACAACAACCGCGAACGGGGCGATCCTGCCCGCCTCTGCATCATCCACCAGCACGAACTTTGCCCTCAAGATAGCGTTCCGCTTGACCACGCCCGCCCACGCCTCCTTCAACTTCACGACGTCGATGTCCGGGCGCAGATGGAATACGCTATGGTTGATGTAACCACGCCCACCCTCACTCCTGAGGTAAAGCGCGAGTACACCGGCTTGCATCGGTGTCGAAGGCCAGATCTCGGCATCCTTATCCGCCCCAAGGCTCAAGCGGAACTTCGCGATGGTCTCGTTGACTGCAGCATCTCGCGTATCGTTGTCGTCATGGGACTTGGAGGTGGCCGCGCTGATGATGTCCGCGACAGTCTCGCAGGCAAGGATGTCTGCGATGCCCAGACCGGCGAGCTCTTTTGCATCAGCGTCGCGGAGGGACGCGAGGAGCCGGACAGCCTTGAGCGAGTCGAGGCCGAGCCTGAGCAAGCTCGAGCGTGCGCGTACGGCGGAAAGTGGTACTTCAACGATCTCCGATACGAACTTCTTCACGAGCTCGAGTGCAGGTGACGTATGCTCATCCTCCGCATCCTCGTCGGCTTGCTGTGAGTCGGTAGTGCCCTGCGTCTCGAGCTCGCGCTCGCTTACGATACGTGCTGCGGCGCGCCTATCGGCCTTTCCTGAGCTTGACCGGGGGACGGACACGGCGAAGTAGTATGTTGCGGGGCGCATATGGAGCGGTAACTTGTCATCCGCCTCCTTCCTGAGCCGCTCAACGAGACTTCCCTGCTCAAGCTCTTGTCCATCGGGAACTACAAGCGCGGAGAGACGCTCGTTGGAGACCACAGACAAGACGGTCTGCACTCCGGCGATAGCGCCCAAGACCGAGTCGATCTGTGAGAACCATCATCAGCCCATCTGTATCAGCAGGCGCCCATACCGGCAATCACACACCTCGCCGAGTTCGACACGTCGACCGCTGATCTTGACCTGGTCGGCTCCCATACGACCCAAGTACTCGACCTCGCTCCACCTCGCATCCGCGCCTACTACAGCGCGCGCCCAATCTCCCGTCCTGTACACTCGTCCGAAGCCCGGCACCTCCACGAAAGCGCGAGCAGTCTGCTCGGGGTTGTTCAGATACCTTTCGTCATCGTTAATATTGGGCTACATGCTATATAAAGTGATGGACTTACCCCTTCGCAAGCTGATCGCCAGCTAGCGCAAGCTCTCCCGCAAACCCAAGCGGCATTGCGCGGTTCTCCGTCGGGTGGAGAACGAGCATACTAGCCGTGGGAAGCGGCGGGCCGAGGCGCGCGCCCGACTCGTTGTGCGGGTGAGCGCGCAGGGTGACGTTGATAGCTGCCTCAGTCGGACCCTATGATTTTTGTTAGCTGTACATGAATGGCATCGCGGAGTGAGTAGTACGCACGTATGCGTTGTAGAGTGCAAAACCAGGGCGAGTGAACTCGGCGATGACCCGATCGCTGAGCTTCTCACCCATCGTCCAGAGCTCGAACTTATGCTCGATGCCATCGATTGATCCGTAAAGCTCGCCGCGCAGTGTCACTACGAACACATAAGCGTACAGCACAAGGCAGGCATGAAACCAGCATACCAATCCGGTCAGCCTTCAGCACAGCCGCCATGCTCGGCGTCGCCATCATATTTGTCGCTCCGAGTTCGGCGAGGACCTTATCCGGGTCACTTAAGAACCGTGGCCTATCGGCACTCAAAAGCGTCGCGCCGCAAGCGAGGGTGCAGAAGATCTCCATAACCGACTACGACCGTTCAACTCGTCAGTGTGCGTATAATAGCGAATGCAAGCGATGACACATACCGGGTCGAAGGTCGCAGCAGCGAACTGGAACCAGCGCGCGGCCGGCGAGACGCGGCGCACGCTGAGATGACCGTGAATAGATGTCGCGGCAGCACGATGCGTGATCTGCACGCCCTTTGGCTTGCCCGTCGAGCCAGAGGTGAAAAGTACTGCAGGAGGTTTCAGCCCTTGTCCACTAGCTGAGGTATACGAACGTGGCTAGCTCACCGTATGCAAGATCATCAGGGCTTTGGACGAGTTCGTCTAGCGCAATGCCCGTATTTGCGGCACGCTCCTCCAACTCCTTCGCAGCACTCACATCGACCCACCCGACACTCTCCGCGAGCCACTCTGGTCGTGCACCAACACCCACGACTACCTTCGCCCCAACATCTTCAATCAGCTCAAGCACGCGTGTTACCGGTGCGCCGTCGAGAGTTGGGAGCGGCGCGAACGCTTTGCCTGCGCGAAGTATGCCGAGGTACGCGATATAGATCTCGGCGCTTGCGGGAATGAGGAACGGGACAACGTCGTTGCCGGTACCAGTCAAGTTCAGCAGAACCTTCGCGAGTACAGCGGAGCGTTGCTCTAGTTCGCCGTATGTGAGGACTTGGCGCTGAGGCGTGAGGCCAGGCGCGGCAAGGTAATCGACGGCTGCGTGTGCTGCGCGAGACTTTGCGGAGAGCAGGAAGGGCGCGTGAAGAAGCGCGGGCAACTTCGACTCATAGGGGAATGTGTCCGGAGAACCGTTCAGGATTGAGAGAGAATCGGCCTCGGATGCCTGGTTCTGGCCAAGGACGTGCGCGTATGTATCGAGCAGGCGTTGAGCGAGATCGGATGGGAGAAGTTGTTGATTGAAGCGTAGAGTGACGCCCTTCTCCGTGTCGAGTATACCAAAATTGATGTTTGACGGCGTTGCAATCTCGAATAGACTAAGTTGCGCCTCGATGCTCTCCAACCCAACTACTTAGGCTTGTCAGAGAATATTCGCACGTCTATAGAACATGATAACGTACCGAGCCCTTCTGTTCGAGCGACAATCTCAAACTTCTCCGGTGTACCGGGATCTTCGAGTCCCTCGACGAGTACGACTTTGTCGCCGTTTAGAAGAAAAGCGAATTCGGCCGTCGTCCCTAGCAATGCGCGAACCGCAACGGCGAAGGCCTGTACGCGCGCATCGACGGTTGGCGACTCGGCGCCTTTTACAAGACTGGCTGTCAGCTCAGAGTTTGCTGCAGCTTCTGTACGTGTTGTGGGGTAGAAGCACGGTACGCGCGTAGTAGGGAGCGCCCTCATGTCGTCGAACGCAGTGAGCACAAACCCGAAAGACGAGAGTTGAAAGTCAAGAAACAAATTCAGCCGAGAGCACGCCTTTCTGCTCTGGTCATTTGCACCGGCACCTGCGCGGTCCTCTCAGAGTTGGGTGCCATGCTGTAAGAAGTTTCTTCAATTGCCCGTCCCGGGAGGTCGTGGTGACGAGGAAAGGCTTGGGCGCTTGCGGCTCGGGCCGCGTCGCCGCTTGATGCGCCACCCCAGCTTCTTTCCCGCGCTCCTCCGTCGTGCTCCTGTCGCATGTAACCGTAAGAAGCCTTCGTATCTCCTTCGTTCGCACATTCATGCCATAGCTCAGATCACCTCAAGCTTACAAGAGGCTGAACGCTGCTCATGTACAACTCCGGAATGGCGGAGTGACGAAATCTTATCGTATCAGATTAGCACATGGTCTGATCTGCCCCCGATCGCGCATGTGGATGGCTTCGGTACCGCAATCAGATAACTGCTAATCTTCATCTAGCCTCCGTGCCGAGGACCGCGCGAGGAAGCCGACTTCGCATAACCTTACAGCCGTACGGCTGCTGCCTCGAGCTCACAGTCAAGGCGTTCGCAAGCACCAACTGGACGGCAGGGTATCCACGCGTTCTCAATGGCAGTGCCTATGCCAGCCTGAATGTACACACCTCTACCCTACCAGAATACAGATTACCGTAGATATTATCGCCACAATCAAGCCGCTAGATCCGCGCAATGAAGTACTGCTGTCGTCTGTCGTGCATGGAGCCTCGTCCAACCCGCCTAGTAATAGTTGTAAACATGCATCGCGGGCCACCCAGCGGCGATATAACCGCTCTGGGCTGTATTTGCGATGTAATATCCATATTGGTAGTGAGGTATCATTGAGATGCTCTGGGTATAGATTAAATCACAATGCTGCAAATGCCCAACGGGATGATCACTCATACCGCCGATGTGGCCGACACCGCGCCGTTCTCAATGGCTGGAGGGCGGAAGTGATGGTGCAAGTCCCGGGGCGTTGAAGGCGAAGCTTGGTTGGCAGTCGCTCGACGGTGAAGAACAGGTGCATCCTCCTGATAATTGGCGGCGCCCGTATCGCCCGTGCGTGCCGGAGGCAAGCTTGAACGGGCGAGTGGGAGTCGGTCGAGTACGCTCCATCGCTCAACGTCCTTTGAACGGCAATCCACGAGCCATACACTCGATCCCGTGAAGCGGTGTATGGGCCGTGCGTGGCGTCCGGGGCCAGTCCAAAGAACAAGACGACCGTCTTCGGCGCGACTTGCACACCTGTTCACGATCTGTAGCAACCGCTCGCGCTCCGGCGCCTCGTCGACGTAGAACAACGACATGTGCGGGAAGTTGCGGCTCTTCCAATGTATGTCCTGCACGTCTAGTGCAGCGACGATAGATCTGTGCAAAGATTCCAGCCCTGCAGTTTTCCTCATCTGCACGGACATGGCACCGAGGTAGGTCGATCCGGGCTTCAAATCGCGAAAGTATGTCTTGACGGGACCATTCTGAGGGATGATGCTTCGTAATTGGAAGGACGAGGGGAGGTGCTCGAATGTGGCGAGTGTTATGTGCGGGTGAAAGGTAGGATAGGATCGCGTTCGAAGGTGTGGTTCGCCGCGTGGAGGGCGTATCCTCATGAGTTCATCGAGGCTGCGCGCCTCTTCCTGAGAAGGGACGAGCCAAAGAGCGTAACCTGCAAAATGTGAACGCTCGCGCTGGATAGTTGAATCGTGAACTCACCCATCGAGGTATGTGATTTGTGGCTGACACCTCGGAAGGGTCTGGGGAACGTCGCTGGAGGGATGGCAGCGACAAGAGGATAGAGGCCTATGAGGCGGCAAGATATAGGGTTTCACCTGTAAGCGCCGGGCCCTGTGCTAGCTGGCGCTGATCGACTACAAGAAGGCACCACGAGGTGTTGGAATCCCTTTTCGATTGTGCTTCGCACAGCTTAGTTGCCACGGACAACGATGTCCATTCTTCTGGGGAGCCTTCCTCTCTGGTTGCGGCCGCTGAACTTCGAGATCTCGGGCATGCTGCCCGATATGCTTCTGAGAATGTGGCAGGCAAGGTGAGAGGCGAAGACAAGGGGACACGGCGCGTCGCGACAACGACGTGACTAGTGCGTAACGCGTCGTAACTATCGGCCTTGCACGCGTACTCGAACGGAACCTTCCCTCGAAACGACGACCATGTCTACCGCGTAATGAGCCTCGTTGCTCAACGTCGACGTTCAATGCTCATTCCCGCCACTTGACTTGTTCGAGACACAGCTTTCACCACTCAATACTCTACTGTTCATGTACTGCGCGCGATTCGACGGGTTTCACGGTGTGCCCAGGATTCGATCGGCTTGTCTACTGTGTCCTTGCGCATCACAAGCAACACACTAGGACGCTATTGCCTCGCACTGCTTGCGGAATATTTTACTGCCGGGCGTCTTCCAATCGACAATTGTGCGTCGATGCTCATCAAGGAGTGCTTTATCTGCCGTCTCCTAGACACAACAACCACCAGCGCCGTGCCTTCTCGAATGGAAGTTCGTTGCGGCTTGTTGAACGGCCTTGTTGAACGTATACGTCTATTTCTCGGGTATCAGGGCAACTGCGCCAGAGAAACAGATACGCTGCGCTAGTAGCTGATCATTGAGATGACAATGCACCTTCGCTGTAGAGCGCTCGGGTTGTTATGCGGTTGTCGAGGTTGCTCTTTGTCCTCACCCTGGGTACTACTCCAGACATAGCTCTGTATACATAACAACTCTGTGAAACCCTTCAAGTAGAGGGGAGGGTATAAATATGTAGTTGCTTCACCTGTGTGCTTCTCATCACCCCCACTCACTTCACAGATGTCAAGCCGTATCTGTCTTGTATGCCGCACTCGCGACAAAGGTCGAAACCAGCAATTCTGCTCAGAGTCTTGTGCAAACTGGGTGGCCTCGCAGCCATATCCGTTACTGATGGATATACCGCGCAATCACGAGCTTTATACTGACTGTAAGCGTTGCATCATCTTCTCGAGACTTTGACTTCAACTTATCGGTCGCATTCGCAGTGGAGAAGAAGTTCCAAGACTCATGGGATCCGAAAAGACAAGCACGGAGAGAGATCGCTCGAATCTTTCTCATTACCTGGCCGGCAGCAATGAGGACGTCCTTTCAGAAATATCGGTGCGTCTACCGATGTCGTGCACAAGATGGGATGCTTACTACGCGTGTCAGCGATGGCGTTGCCATTTTGCGAGGAAAGCCTCCTGGTATGAAAGAGAGCTGATGATGTGTGTCAGAGGCGGTGTACGTTTCGGCGGTGGAATCTACATGAGTCAGGGTTCAGATAAGTAGGAATCTGATTCGGTTGTCAATTGCGTTCGAATAACTGACAGGCCATCCAGAGCTTCCGAATATGCGATGGATGCTGAGAGTACTGCTGCTCAGTTCGGCTGGTCACCATACTCTGCTGTTCTTGTGACAAGAACAGTTCTGGGATGTATTCAGACTCTGTATCAGGAAGACATCACCCGCATGTTTGCGGACTCCGGCTATGACTCGGTGCGTTCCTTTCACCTATATATCATTGACTACTCCTACACCTGCCATGCGAAATGGCCCATAGGTTCGCGGGCTCTCCTCCAAGGATGAACGGTTTGAACACATCGTGTACAAGTACGATGCTGTCAAGCCAGCGTACCTTGTCATGCTAAAGAAGTAGGGCGTACTGAGCATCGAGGTGATGTATGCGCCAGTCGTCGGTCGTCGGTCTGTTTATAGGCCTCACACGTACTAGTCAGTTGTGCTATGTCTTAGTTATCGACATCATGAATATATGCTGTTAGGCCGCATTCCTGTTGAGGGCGGGTCATAGTGACGTAGCGCTACATTTCACTGGTACGCGAGACACTGCGGCGTTCGGGCGCCTCAGGCTCCCAGTGTACTGTAACCAGACGCACTGCACGATTCACGATTCGATGAGCCGACCGAATACGTACTCGAATCGTCTGATTGGGGATTCGGAAGCCGGGTTCTGACATACTCGCTGTCACTCTTCTCGTTTCGTCTTACTTGGGATCCCCCGTGTGTGACATCTTCGAATCGTCCCTGTATCAGTGTATGCATTGAACGGCCGCGGGCGCTTGACTCTAAATCCGGGCCGAGAATTTGATGTGGGGACCGGAAGATGCCGGATCTCCGACAACTCAGTCGGCTTGGAGGTCGAGTCCTTTGTAGCCACCGTGGCCATTTAGTCTGGTTTGCAGTCGCTATAAAGGCCTACAATGCCGCATTCTCGCTTCATCCCTTCTGCTCTGCTTTCGCCATGAAGATCATAGACATGAAAGCCATTCGCCGCCGGAGGTCACCTTACGAGCGCATGCCCTACTATCCACGGTCTCGAGCACGATATGTGGTACGCTCACTGAACTGTTCGCCTATTCTTCGCGCTCACACGAGGCTAGGATGAGCCTCTGTGGGACGCTATACGCTTTCCGATTATTCCTTATCGCCCATGGGTCAAGCTTGTCGATGCGGAGGGGAATAAGGTGCGTTATACATGTGCAGATGGTCCCCTCCTATGCAGAGTGCTGAATCTCTCTTCTTGACAGGTCTCCCAACCGACACAGGACAGACCCCCTGTCTCTGATGGCATACCTCGCGCCGTGTCCCCCGTTATCGCGCAGGATGTTGAGACCCTGCAGGTATGTCATGCTCGCGCGCGCAGTGACCTATTCCTCAATGAGCGTTGTTAGAACGAACAAACAAACCCGCTGCAGAACGAAGGGCAGGTGCATGCCACGAGCGATGGCGTGCATGCCACAGCCGGGTGCGCATATCCTCAAGAGAACGTGCTTCCGGCTACGCAGAGCTCCAGGTGCGTTCTTCGCCCTGGCTATCTGGAATGTACTGATGAACCGTCCTGCCAGTGTCGCTACCATACAGGGTCTTACGCAAACTAGGCATCCGCATACATCTGCTCCCCCTCGCCTGACCCGGCTGGCCAATGTTCAGCCGCACGAACATGCGCCCTCTGACTCGTGGGTGTCTTCGCCCACATGGCCATGACTTGAATAGTATTGACCTCTATTCAGCTCGCTCCCGACTGGGACGCCATCAATGCTCACACACCCTCCTGACGAACCCAGCGCAGGCGTGGACGTCATCCCGGCGAGTCCTCCGCCCGCTGTGACCGATCTTGCCGCTTCGCCTGTTGGAGTCTCTTCTACCTTCGCTTCAGACAGACATAAACTACGAAAATATGGCGTTGAGATGCGCACTTTTCGTTCAAAGGGTGCCCCGATCAACACCCCCCCTCATGTCGATGCTGCAGCCGAGTACGACACGTATCTACATCAGAGCGATGGCTGCGATCGGGTATGGTATGCCACTGCCGATGGAGATTGGGTACCCGCGCCTATCGGGAAGGAACACCCCAAGTATCCAGATCATGAACTCTACCTCTCAAATGACAACTGGGCGCGATGGCTTTTGAAGAAGACGGTTTCTACGTACAAGGGCAGGAAGGTAAGCCTATTGCTGGTGAATGCACTCGCAATACCTGACTCATGTGGCATTCACAGGTGGGCGAACCGCAGAGCAAGCCTCGCGCTGGCTGATGAACGCCCGCTGCTCCCCTGACCCGGAATGTATTCCACTATGATATCTTCACTGTACCACCTCTGCATTACGTCTTCTGTAGCCATATAGACTATTGCGCCTGGATCCGATCTTCTACGTCGCGAGTGTGACCAGCGCCAAAACCCGAATAGATCCTCACGCTCAACATGCCCTTCAGTGCGGAAACACCGAACGCTATGATCTTCGCCTTAGCCAAACCCGCCATCAGTTCCGCCTTGATTCCACCGCTCAACGAAGCTTTGTCTGTTCCATCGCCACATCTATGAATCCGGAAGGTAAGGGCCCCATAACAGCGCTAGTTGCGGTTGTTCCGCCTTGCCTCCTACCGAGTGCAGGTTCGTCAGTGAGGGGCTACCGCATCTCCGGGGTTCTTTGAAGTGCCTGCCAGCGCATCGACAAGGTGCCCCTTCAACAGCACTCGGCGGGAAGGCTGCGACTCTCCGGTCGAAGCTGAGACGAAAACCGCGGCGGCCTGGCTCCCAGCGTGGTGTGGTTTAAACCCCATGCCTCGCAGACAAACGAAAGCCGAGGTGCCTAGCAGCTTGGCGCCCAGTCGTAAATGGCGCTCGTGAAGGAGTTACACGAATACTGGTAGAAGCTACATGGACCTCTAGCCGCTAAACGAGCTTCAGATGCGTGGACTCGGAAGTGACGCGGAAGCGACACGCTCGACGCGTGACGTCATAACGCGTTTGTCGCGTCTGCGTCTGCACGCTGCCATGGCTTGGTTCTGCCTCCCATGTCGCGTCGATGTCAGTACCTAGCTCTTCAGTATCCAAGATGAACTCTTTACTACACTTAACCAAAAGGGCCTCCATGACATTTTCACCGCCATTTGCTCGTTCCACTCACTTATTGGGCCATTTTACGAGCCAGCGCGTGTTGAAGCGCGAGCATAGGCGCTGTGTCTCTTTCCAGTTCCCCGCTAGCTTCTGTATCCAGACCACATGCCCTGCCTGCACTCGAAAGGTGGAGCGAGTGACATGGAAGTCTGTCAAGATGGATAGTCCTATAGATGATACCTACCCCACACGCAACGGCGAAGGCATCTCCTTCATTCCGCTCGCGCGCTGACCATGTCACTTCAGTAATGGAAGCCAAATCTTATGGCATACAAGCTCTCAAGCGCTCTCGTGATAGAGATGAGAATAGATAAAGACCGTCGGCGCTTGATCTAGCAGAGAAACCATAGGCGCACCTAGGTGCCTGTCGGCACGTCGTGCGCCTTATCCGGACTCACAGCGTGTGAAGGACGTACGGAGCAGTATAAAAGCCTTTCGTCTCCTTGTGTAAGCTGCTTCATAACACTCACAATGTGCTCTCTGGATAATCATGATCATGGCGCATCGGACGCGGCATACAAGCAACTCTTCGTACGCAACCATCAATGGAGGACCGCGACGTCCGCGAGCCAGCGCGATTTCTACGAGTTTCGCGACACTAGTGGAGGACAAAAGCCTAGTGTATGTAATCATTTGGTTGAGGTATTTGATATGCGCTTATGTGCTTATGTGCGCAGATTCTTTGGATCGGATGCAGCGATTCTCGCGTTCCCGATAACGTGATTACAGGCTCTAGTTTGGGCACCATCTTCACGCACCGAAATATAGCGAAGTGAGTGCGACATTGTGGAGAGTCAAGGAAGAACCTAACGTGCTCGCTAGTCAATTTTTGGAGGGCGATAATAACGCAGCTGCGGTACTAGAGTTCGCCGTCACACGCCTCCGCGTTCAGCATAGTGAGTTAACTTCGTATCATGAGGCGCTTTCACTAAGCCGTTGGTCAGTCGTTGTGGCTGGACACACCTACTGCGGTGGCGTCGAGACCAGCTACAATTTGGCTTACCCGGCCAATCGCGCTTCTCGTGAAGTCAATCCTGATTTCGAAGTGAATGACGAGCGCAACGCCGACGAGCCCATGCCCCAGGTGGTAGCCTGGCTCCAGCCTCTCGTCAGCGTCGCTCTTGATCCCATGTGGCAACCCATGGCGGCCGCGGCCCCGGAACCCAATTGATCGCATCTCGGCCGATCTCCAGGAAACCATCTGGATCCCAGGGGCAGGCGGCCAGGCACCGACGGGCAGGGGCCGAGAGCGGGATTTGCACTGCACATAACCTTTCGATCCCCGACCTTTCATGCAAGCCTCGGGAAGCTGTGTCCATCTCATTCAATTACATCACGTCATATATCCTTAGGGGCTATGGATCAGGTATGGCAACCGATCAGGGGAGCGAGCCCGTTTCGGCTCTCGGCCCTCGACTCGGACTGCCAGAACAATGCTCGCTCATGGTGGTTGTGAATATATTCGGATTTGCATGTACATACACGCGGGTGTTTGACGTGCTGCGGTGCATGAATGGAAGCTGCGAGCGAGTGCTGGAACAGCGAGACAGACTTCATTCACGACTCGGAGCACTCAGATATTCTGATCTCGGACTTATTCTGATCTCGGACTAAGACGAGAGGGTCGTGAGTTAGCCTGGTCTACCTCCGGACGGACGCGGGACGAATCAACAGCGCAGATAAAGGTCCGGAGTAGTGATAAGTCTGCGTGCAACGCCCCGCACAGGATCAAGGGGGTGAGGAGGCTTGCCGGAGGTTCTGTAAGTTCGGCTTCCTGAGAGAAACTCGGAATCTGCGGTCATAGAAACCAGACCTCGGCCTATCATTGAGTCTAGGCGTATCTCTTGAACGGCCGATGTTGCACGACTGCCTAATAACGCGGATTGAGACGGCCCTGCTTCAAATCCCGTGTCACCCGAGCCAGCTCGAATCCGAGTCTCGAGGGCAGCATGCCTAGCCTCGGACCGTGTCTGAACGTGAAGCCGACTCTTTCTGAAACCCGCCTTGGGACTACTTCTGACGCTCAGTACCGCCTGAGACGCTTTCTGAGTGCTCCGGAGCAGCATTCCATCCCCGTGGACCGCGCTCCGAAGGCTCGGACTGCGAGATGAGTGATCGGCGCAGAACATGGGATGGAGGGAGATGCCAACACATGGAGTCGGCGTATGCGCCAGTTCGTCAAAGCTTTCTTACAAGTCCGAGCCTCCGTAGAGCTGCATCATTACGCTCCGAGCATAAGCACTCTCTGATTTTCGGGAAGTGGGGAGGACCGAGGTGCCGATACCGCATTGCTCCTGTGCAGATCCGGCGCGCAGACGTTGTGTATATATGCGCACTCGCACTCGAGCGCAGCGTGCTAGTAGCTCAGCTCTCCGGCACGCATCCAATGCGCATATGATATGTGCCGGACCAAGGGTGGTCCGGGGTCCCACCGAGTTGCTGAGTCAGATGCCTGACGATGGATCCAGCTGGGTTCCCAGGGCGTGCCTGCATTACGTACGGTTGGCTTCGGCGACGCACGCGGCACAAGGATGCCGCGATGTGTGCGCTCTTGGATGCGCTTTCCCACAATCGAACACTGCGGCAGCCAATGTGGCTCAGCTTACGGACGAGAATGTGCGCCGGCAAGTAGAGAGTGTCGCCAATAGCTCGGTCGTGAAAAGTGCGTGGGGCAAGCGGAGGGACCTTTCCGTGCATGGCGTCGTCTATGATCTCCAGAGTGGTGCTCTGCGCGACGTCGGTGTTAGCCGTCTTCCTTCCTGTATCGCGGCGAGAGATGTGTAGAAGAAGGGAAGGCAAACGGAACAATATGGGCCTCAGCACATGATAGGCTATCGTTGGCTCTAAGAAGATGTACTGTAGTGTGTATCAGTGAATGTTCATGTCTTCATTCCGCAACCCAACGAGATTGCACAATCCGGCGATACAGCCGGTTATGACTTGTGATATACATTGGGTTGGACCGGAACTGCCGCTGAGAACATACCCGGCACAGGATGAGTGGATGGTGGGCGATCGTTGAAGTATGGTATGACGGTAAAGTAAGGGATTGAGACAGGATAGGACTGTGGGTAAATGCGCGAAGCCATGGATGGCGTGTCTATCTGAGGGCCACGGAGATGTGAAGATGTGTGTACACCGGTAGTACGAGTGAGATGGTTCTGACTAGCGTCTTCACGAGGTGCCAACTGATGCGGACGGTGTGAGATCCCAGCACTACGACCTCCTCTGGCGTCCTGACTTGCATGACTTGGACGGCTCAACGAGACTCGATCAAGGACTCTCCACTGCTCAACGTCCTTCGAGCGACAGTCTACTAGCCATACGCTCGATCCCGTGAGCCGCTGTACTGCCCGCGCTGCTTGTCCTGTCCCAGCCCACAACACAAGGCGCCCATCGTCTGCATGGCTCACGCAGCCTTGCGTCCCACGCCACAGGCGCTCGCGTTCGGATGCCTCGTCGACATAGAACAGTGACATATGCGGGAAGCCATGGCTCTTCCACTGAATGCGCTGTTCGTCGAGTCCAGTAACGATGCTCTGGTGTAGACGCTGGAGATTGGCACTGAGACTTATCTGGACCGAGAGTGCGCCCAAGTAGGTGTTTCCGGGCTTCAGATCGCGGTAGTACGTCTTGACGCGGCCTTCCTGGGGCACGATGTCGCGAAGATGGAAGCTGTGCGGAAGTATGTCGAAGGTGGCGAGGGTGATATGCGGATGAACCATGGGATACGAGCGGGAATGGCGAGGTAGGTAGCTTCCCGGAGGGCGGTATCGCATCAGCTCTCTGAGCGCTTCTTCCTCGTCCTGGGATGGGACAAGCCACAGTGCATAACCTGGAATGCTTAGTTAGCACTCGCGAATAGCAGACTATCGTTAACGTATGGATTCTTACCCATCTAAGGGAGATGTTGCTCTGCGAATTCAAGGTGCGAGTGAGGGATCGTGGTACGGTGGAGAAGTCCTGATGAGGCTTATCTGCGTGATACGAGGTTAGATCCTTCCTTTACAAGCTGAACGCACGAGGCAAAATATTCGGGTATCTCGGCAACGCCCACTGCGCGCAAGGGGGGGCAGGTTCACAGGCCGCATGACATGGCATTTTTAACTATATACAGCACCGGTACATCAAGCTTCGAGCTTCAGGAGTTATCCTTTCGATACGCGCACGGACGTGACGCCCAGCACCCTGCGTAGGCGCTCAAGCGTTTCAGGTGGGAGGTTACAACGGCCCTCAATGGATAGCTCCAACGGGCTTTCCCGTTCAATAGCAGCAGCATCGTCGCTTCCTTCCGCCACTATGGTCAAGAACGCGCCCAGTTCTTGGTCAAAGTTCGAAGCCGAGCCTAGAAAATTGAACAAGCTGATGCGTGTCAATCGAGCGAAGAGCGTGGGGCGAGCGCGCAGAGCTCGAGCCAACCCCAAGGCGACGTAAGCGCCATCTGCTCCCATGCAATGCACAGCTTGAATGTGCGGTATGGCTTCGAGCGCTTCGGTCCAATCATCGACGCTTGTGAAGTCGACCGTTGGGCCGATGACGAGACTCTGCAGGTTCGACACGAATGGAAGCTCGCGCAACCCGTGACGCACGAGGACTATGTTGGGGTTGCTTTCTGCACTGTCGTCGAACTGAAACTCGTCCAAATAGTCGGTATCATGGAACGAGAAGTGTAGTCTCTCCGGTAGTCCGTCTTGGCCGCCCGATAGGATGAACTCAAGGTGGCTGTACATGACGCCAAATCGAACGCGGAGCTCATTGTATGACGGTCGTGAGGCGTCCGCATCGAATATTAGCATTTGCCCGACGGCGGTGAACGTGTCGGTGATGCTGTTGCGTATGTGGGCCACGTCGATGGTGAGCGATTCGTGCATGATCGACACCTGAAAGTCTTGAAGGTGAGGAACGTGCAGCCGGCGAACGAAGTTCACGACTGCCAGCGTCTCGTCTCCGAGCTCCAAGTTCTCTAGATAGGGCAACTCGACCGTGGTTCCAAGGAATAGATTGCCATTACGTAGATCATCCAGGCTATTCAAGAGTCGTAGGCGGTTGAGGGAGGGCAGAGACTGGAGAACACCGAAGATTGCCTCAGGCCCACCCAAGTTCATGCCGTCAAGGGTGAGGTCTTGTAGCGCTGGGCTCAATATCGGCGAGTGGACGGGTATCTTGTCGCCGGATAAAGTGAGGCAGCGTAAGCGAGGGGGTGGTATCCCACTGAACGCACGCGCGAATGCCGGCCGCCTGCGCAACCCGTAGTTCTCGGTGTTGTATATAAAGGTCTCTAGGGCGTGTGCTTCATGCTGAGAGACGTACTCGTCCAAGACGATATTGAGGGAAGTGTCGAGTACCGTGAGATCCATTCGCCTGATCCTGCCCATATTGAACGCATCGCCAAAGACTTGACGAAAGTTGCGTTGAATTGTATGCCGTTCCTCGTCGATGAAGTCCGGGTCTCCTTGGTCCGGGTTAAAGTATACGTGGAGCGGGTGATCTCCAGAGCGTCGAATGTATAGCTCCAGTAGCTCAGAGTGCCAGTCCAAGACGATGGTACTCCAGAACTGTGTGTAGCCGATTGTCGCTTGGCGCCACCGCGTACAGACCCAGGAAAGTGAGAGCGAGTCCCGGAGTACTAAACGCGGATCCCAGGTTTGTATGGGATAGGCGAGGTCGAAGACGTTGAGCCACAGCTCTATCGGCCATCTCTCTGTGAAGTTGGTCGAAGTTCGATCCGGCCCCTCTCCGCTGCTGGCAAGCGTTTGCCGCGACATACGAGACGGTTCTACACTTCATAGACTGTAAGCAGAGCTCATGAAAGTGCAAAACTTCGAGACATACCAAATGGGCCGCTATTCGATCACCAAGACCGAGACCGAGTGTGGGCAACGGCTGTCGGAAGCAAAGCGTCGCTCTTGGTGCCGCGGCAACTATTCACAAGCGCCGACGGCATACACCGAAACTGCCAATCCTCCAGGCTTCAATATCAGATTCAGCAAAGCGTACAGGAAGTTGGCGATGTGGGACAGTAAGCCATGGCCTGGCGTAGAGAACAGTAAAAGTATTGCACAAGGTGGTGGTGGTCTTCGGAGAGCTGAGCCCCGCGTGTTGCGCGTTTGCTCTCACCGTCATGTCTGCAGACACAAGGTGAGCTCTGTACAAGAAGTCCCTCTTGTGTGTGCACTCATGTATCGCTCAGGGTGCAGACTCTGTTAGATGAACGCACAACTTTCTATCGCACAATCACACAGGAGAAATACCTCGAAGCGGCGGCCCAGCGCCTTTCTGCCTTCGATACAGAACTTGATGGGATCGACAACAGCCTAGCTCTCCTGCGCAGGCAGCGGAATTTACTCGTACCAGCACTACGCTTGCCTGTCGAACTGGTCTCCCACATATTCCTCCTTTTGACCGAGCTTTGGCCTCATTACTATCCCGACCCCGCGGACCACGATGCTTACGCCTCCGGTGCGCTTCCTCCTCGTCTAGGATGGATACGGGCTGCTATGCATGTCTGCCACGACTGGCGGCAGGTGGCCTTATTGGATGCGCGTCTATGGACCGCCGCTACGACCGGTCTTGGAAAGGATTGGTTGGACCGGATGCTGCAACTCAACAGCGGTCGACCGACCGTACTCGACGTGTGGAGCGATTGGGAAGGCGGTCACCGGACATGGATACCGGACACCACCTCGGGCATTCTCGATGATTTGGCTGAGCTCCAGATATTGGGACCCGTAGTAGATCTCAAGCTCCTTCGTGAACTGTCGTCGGCGCCACCAGCTCTTCGTGTACTTCGCGTGCACTCGTACCCTAAAGACGACACGTACCCGACTTTACCTTGGCCGTTGTTCATAGATGACACAACTGGTAATCTCGAGGAGCTTTACATCAACAACACATCATTTTGGAAGACAGCCCTGAACCAGCCCATCCTACAAAATCTCCGCCGTCTCGCGTTAACGACGTCACAACCCGTACCGGATCCCGATACTTGGGCTGATCTTTCAGCCCTCACAGGGGCTTTGAACCGCCTACCCGCTTTGGAGGTTCTCATCATTAAGCGCCACTACTTCTGGGTCGAGGAAGGCGATACAGTTGTCAATAAGCTGACGCCTATCATCCTTCCTCGTCTCGCGACTGTCGACCTCTTCTCCACATGGGACACCATCTTCCTCCTCTTGCGACGTCTGCGTCCTTCACCAGACGTGCGCTATAATCTCGCGAGCGACTTCCCGAATGATTCGCATCCTGAACCCAACGTCGCCGGCCACATACGCTCATTGCTGGACGTCCATCTGAAGGCACATCCAGAGTCGTCACCTCTTTCAAAGATGCAGACCATTGAATGGAAAGCCCATACACCTTCTCGATGGCAAAGCCGAATTGCTGGTACGACCGCCACTGCCGGGCCTGCAGACCCCGTCTTCCAGAGGACGCTCACCCTTTCTGCGTGGCGAGCGAACAGCCCCGACTATCTCATGAGCGATTACGCCGGATATCAACCAGCGCCCACTCCCGACTTCCGGTTCTCCTTCCGATGCGAAAACAACTGGGATCCGCCTTATGAACCAGAGAACGCTATCAAATTGGGCGTCTTCCCATCGGCTCGCTGCGTCTCGTTTCAGCCAGCTGCACAACTTATGTTCGACATATATAACCAATGGGAGGATTTCTTTCAGAGCTCGCCTTTGTTGACGTGGTTGCGCGCCGATCGCATGGCCGTCGCGTCTTTGCTTGCTAGTGGCCATGATCGATGGATGAATATCCCCGGGACCGTGAAGACTCTGGCGCTGCTTTGTGCGCGTTGGGGCCAGGAGGAGGGTATCGACGGTCCACTGGCTCGGCTCTGGACCGAAGCTCGATCCCAAGAACGTTCACTCGAGCGTGTCATAGTTGGTCGCACCCCATTCGATGGACACGGGTTTCATTCATGTGTCTACGAAACGGGTGTCAATCTCACTCCTGTGAGTCGGCCAGAGTCAATGGAGGCCGATGATGACGAATATATGGACTGGTGATCTACTGAGTATATATTGTCTCTTCGTCTAATAGAACTTTATTCATGTTGCGTTACCGTGTGAGAAGCTCGTGATACTATACGGGACGAATGATACTAGATCCGATCTTCCTGACTTTACTGTAAGCCGGCGAGTCGCGACGGCGCCGCGTCGTGATTCCCGCTACGCTAGTAGTGGGTCTTGCGCTCGTGAATTCGACACTTGAAAATGGCTCAGGTTTCACATCCCACGTAAATGTGCCTGAACTCGGCTCTTGCCGGGGTCATGGGATCCGCTGACAGATGCTTGCGCTCACCTCGAGTCGTTTGTCGTCTTCGTACTTCCATCTCTGCTCACTATCCCACGACAAACTCGCCAACTGTTGTTTCATATGACACTACCTTGTTCCCCGTACGTGAACACTCGCTTGCCCATGGTCTATCCATCTCATACCTCACAAACACAGACCGCGTCCTCTCCAGCCACTGCCGATTCCTCGAGTTCTGCCGCTCTGCCTCCCATCATAAACGATATCCTTTCAT